AAGTATCATAATCATACAATATTTAATCAATTTATGGAAGTGTATTGCATTCACTTGAAGAAAAAAAATCGACTCTGTTTTTCTGAATTAATTAGTTAATTATCTCAGAATTACAAGATAATTTTTAATGGAAATCTTTTTTTGCTCTTTTTTTCTGAATTAATGACTTGATTATCTCAAAAACTCAGAAATTCAGAAAAACAGAGCAAAAACTTTTTTCCATGAAAAATTCTCTCGTAATTCTGAGATAATTCACTTGTTAATTTAGAAAACAGAGCAAAAACATTTTTCCATGAAAAATTATCTCGTAATTCTGAGATAATTAACGCGTTAATTCAGAAAAAAAGAGGAAAAACTTTTTTCCATGAAAAAATATCTCGTAATTCTGAGATAATTAACGCGTTAATTCAGAAAAAAAGAGGAAAAACTTTTTTCCATGAAAAAATATCTCGTAATTCTGAGATAATTAACTCGTTAATTCAGAAAAACAGAGCAAAAACTTTTTTCCATTAAAAATTATCTCACAATTCTGAGATAATTAACTCGTTAATTCAGAAAAACAAACAGAGCAAAAACTTTTTTCCATGAAAAATTCGAAAAATACGCTTCCGTATAAATTGGCCTATCATATGCCTATTTTATAAACAGTATAAAAGAAGCTTAAATAAAAATGATAGGCGATCAAAAAAGGTTTTCAAACAACATCATTGTTATTAGAGTTTAGCTCTCTGGTACGATAACTCTGTGTGTGTTCTTGTAATATATTTTTTAACTCAAAAGTCACTGTTATATTCCCTCCGTTCAGACGGCTACCTGCAAATCATTGGCTCAGTTCCCTCAAAACAAAATGAACAAAGCTTCAGTGGTTCCCAAGTCAGCTTTGTTTTCCTGAAATGAGCGGGCAGGAAAATTGCCTGAGCCTTTGCTGTAAACATGAAAGTGAGACATAAATCTTGTGTAAAATATTTGTCCGTTATCTTCAGCTAGAAAATTCCACTTGATACAAATGCCTCAGCACGCCAGACTCCAATACTGTCTGGATAATTTATTCTTTCGCTGTTGGTTATATATTCCATTTCTGACATAGTAAGCCCATAACAGTCTTGAGTGAGAAATCTCTTCTGTCATGCATCTAGCTGCAATCAACAAACCTTCACGGGCCACTGACTAAATAATTTATGCCCGTTTTAAAATTACAAAATGAGCATACAATGAAAGGTTAAAAGGTCCATGCACTGTTCAGTCATAAAAAGACATCGATAATGGAGCCAAGGCAGACAAGTGAAACTGACAGTGATTTAAAGGGCATCTGAGGTGAGCACAGAGACACTTGAAATGTGACAGGAGAAATAAACATCCCTCTGAATCCAACCCTCTGCCTGATTAATTCACCATTCAAATGTACAGAACGGTTACAAGGATCTCTCTCTTCCATAATTATTATAAGTACGTCCATTTTACAAATCTTTTGAAACAAATGTCTTTACTGTCACTTTTGATCAACCTAACGTGTCCTTGCTACATACAATTTAATTGAATGATAGTGTGTATATCTTTCATTATATTATATATTTAGCAACATTTCTCCGAAGAACATATAAATGCACTCACAGCTACGCTTGCACATGTCAGAGATGAGGAATAGCATGGGAAAAGATACAATACTGACTGGTTGATGACTTTCATTTGGGCTTACAGTATATTGGAAGAACAGCTTTCCATTCTAATTGTTGTTTTGGGAGGGAACTGGCAGATCCGTTTCTGCAGAGGCATACAAACAAATCCACATACTCGCTAGATAAAGCTGCCCTGGGACCCGTCATGAGAAACAAGATCCAAAGAATATTACGTTTATATTACAATTAACCCTTGAAGGTTGCCAGAGAAGTCAAATGCACAGAACAACTGAGACTATCCAGAATTGTTGATAAGTGTGATTCAGATTCTCACTTATTGTTCTGCACTTATTTGAAAGGGTCAGTGGATGTCAGCGATACAGACTAACCTGGAGGCATTTTGTCTTATTATTTTACATCAGAAACAAATTATAATCAATACGCTTGATTTTAAAGCATTTTCTTTGACAATAATCAGGAAAAATACAAGTAAAAGAACACCTACTGGTAGTGGCCATTACTGTTGAGGAAAGTTACTTTTAAAAGTAATGAAAGTAAACGTTACCTTTGTTATTATTTTTTACGTTACATTATTATTTTTTTATACCAGGGCTTTCGCATTTGTTTTTGTTTTTTATTTTTTAAAAGTTCTATATTTCGCAAATGTAAAGGCTCTTTCACACCAAAAGTGAAATGAATAAGCCTCAGGCTGAAGGAAATGCGCAAATTCCCATCTATATATATATATATATCCAGCTGTGCTGTCATTCTAGATTGGAGGAGAATAAGATTCAGGATGTTAAACACCAAGGTTCAAAGAGTTAAGCACTCTTACTTCAATAAAAACAAAAAATGAAACATAAATGTGATGTTCATCTAAATTCATTTTTGTTTGATCTGGATCATCGCAGATCAGCAGGCACAACATTGGTTAAAGAGATTAAATACAAAGTATATTTGTGCTATTTACATATTTATTTTTTGCAGGTTTGCATAATATTCTGTGTTTGCATTTCAATGTTTTTATTCAATTTGAGGAACACTGAATCTGTTTTTGTGCCAGAGAGTTAAGTAAATGCATGCAGGTGTCAGTCAGTAAATTGGAAAAAGTAACTTGCGTTTGAAAAAAGTAACTATCACGCATTGTAATGATGTTCATCCCTTGGGGCTTCGCATGCTCTCCTTAATGGGTAAATTAATCAAATTCAGTCCTATCTCGCTACATATCCAGGTTAATTGTGTCTGTTTACACATTCATACGCTCTCTTCGTCTCTTAAACCAGAACAAACCTCAGATGAAATGCGTACCAACACACAACATCCACTATAACAGTATACAAAAGAGCACAGTCAGCCATCACGACATGGGTCACAGTGAGAGAAAAAGACTATGGACTCATTTTCTGGGTGTTTGTTTGTTTCTTCATAGAAGAATGACAATCACTATGAACTCATGCTCATGCCCTAGGGACACTGGGAATTTCTTCCATGTGCCTAGAGCATATTGTGAGCCATCTGGTGCCCGTCTCATATCCCTGTGAGGTAGTAAGCGACCAGAGGAATGGCAAGCTATCAATCAAACAGACAATGAAATCATCTCATTGCAGGTCAGTGGTCTCCATCCAATATAAGTTCCACACCGATCCGACTGACAGCTGTAGTCAAAACTAGACTTTTTTTTTCTTGTACACCACACCCACATCTTATGTGCCCCATGTCATAACAGAAAGTACTAAGATCCCCTGATGTACATTAAAAAACTGTACAGCCTAAAAAAAAGCCTGTTGTTTTTATTCATAAACACCAAAACTGGTCTGTTATCATCAACATATCATCAACATAATCTGTAATGCTATTTTTTAAATGTAGAGAACACTGCAAAACTTGGTTTGACCACCAGTACAAATATCTAAAAATGTTTTCACACATTTCATGTATTCTCAGCATTCTCAGAAAATAAGTCTTAATATCGTATGGTTTGCTGCTCTTCAAGTAAACTTGTTTTGTTTCAAGGAATTTTGAAATTTTAACTGGAATCTCATTAGTAATATCAATGGCATACTTCTCAGTGTCATGGATTCTTCACAAAAACATTTTATTTAGATATACTCAACAACGGGGATCCAAAGAGTGATTAGAATCAAATGTGTTTACGTCTTAATTATTAGCTTAATCTAAAGGTGCACACTCCAACACAATCTTTCTCAAGCAATTTGGCAATGACTCCAATCTCACTGCTGTTAGGCTCAATACCTCTGCGCCAACTTGAGCTGATAATCTCCACTCAGATAGAAACAAATCATTTGGCATCAAATACGCTTCACTTGGTTTTCCATAAAAGACTTGATTGTAAGAGGTCAAGCAGAAAGAAAGTACAGTAAATAAGAACACTTTCAACAGAAAAAAAGGGTTGTTATAAAGTCATTATGGGCTTTATGACTTGATAGAGATGTTTGAGAATGCAAACTATGATCGAATACGGCAAACTGGCATGCAAATATAAGTCTTTTACTCTTATGAAACATTTATAACTTTAAAGGTATGCCATTTTCTTATAAACACTTTGATATACTGGTTGAAATTCTCTTCACATCCTGATAGTAATTAATAATGAAGTGGTATATATATATATATATATATATATATATATATATTTTTTATGATTTATTTTCATATATTTTCTGTGGAAGTCTCAGGACCAAAACATTTTCGTCCAATCATTGCATTCAGTCCGAATGCATGTCATTACCGTAATTACGACAGAGCATTCAATTATATGAATTGGCAGTACGTAAGAGCTCTGAAATTCGTTTAGGTTCATTAATATTGTAATGTTATGTGTTTTTAGACATAAGTTGATTTAACGCTGCATTTCTGGCACTTTGCAGAGGTGGGAAGGGAGGGTGGGATCTTATGCTTTCAAATCTTGCTCGCTATTGCTAGCCTCTCCGCAATTGCCTATCCTAGCTATAAATGGTTTACCAAAATAGCCAGAGTTGGGATAAGAAATGCACAGTCATAAATTATTTGCAATATAAAGGAACATTTCATGTTTTCTACATGCTTCAGAGCAGACATTTAGATCAGACATCTTCTATTATTAAAAGTGACCAAAGGGTCATGGAGGGAATGAAATATTCTATACACAGAGAAGCTGAATAAATATCAAGGGATGGATAACAATGCACCTGCAAACAGACAAATAAACTCATTCAAATTCAAATCCAGTACTAAGCAATATTCATGACTCTGTGTTTGCTTTGCGCCTTCATTGTATCTAAATGCTGACCGAAATTTTTTTACACTTTCAAGCTTTAACTTGCTGACAAGACTTTAAAGATGGCAAATCCAAGCATATAAAATGTAAAGGCAAAGCAGCAGTACCTTCCTGTAAGCAATCATGTTGGGTGAGTCGTCATCTGGGTCAGCCACGCCCACTGCACCTTGGTCCTGAGAGGCCTGAGCCATTCTTGGTCTCTTGATCTCTCTTTTTCTCTCTGTGGGGAAGGACAGAACAGAAGACAGATCAGTCATACAGAATCCCAGTGTGCCACCCAGAAAATTAATTAAATATCTACAGTTGTTAGTGTAAAAGTGAGTTAAAGCACAGGCAAATATTCTCCATGAAAAACGTCTTAAATTTCAGTACGTTTCTCACAATAGCATCGAAGACTTGGAATAAAACAAATAAAGCCATCGACTAATTTATTATGCTTTATATCTCTTTTGGAGCTTCAGTGGTTCATATTCACTTTAATAGTGTGAAAAGACAACAACATTTAGACATAGCTACATAAAAACTTTGTTCCACTAAGGAAAGAAAGTCACGCATCAGGATTTATTGTTATCAGGGGACTCAAACCAGATAAAACCACAAACCACATTTTCATACAAGTTTGTATTAACGAACAAAGAAAACAGTTTGCCAGTCAAGTAAAAATGTTTCAGCACCACAGACAGCGGTATCTCATTGACAGCGATGGTGCTCGTAGCAGGTAGACAGCGACGTTGCCATAGCAGAAATGCAACATGCCACAGACGTTGCTGCAACGTAAATGTGTTTGCTGGGTGTACTTTGCCTGGGCCCCTTTCCTGTGACGCAAGATCCGTGGCGTTTGAGGGGCCCCTAATTGGCACGGGGCCCTGGGGCGGCCGGACCCAAGCACCCACGCTATCTCCGCGATAGGAAGCTGGTGATAGGCCTGCACGCCGTCTTGCTTATGTGTGCGTGCTGCCGCAACGATTTTTACATTAATTCAAAATTAAGGATCATTTTTGGCTTCAAAATAGGGTTTCCCTTAGCATAAGATATTACGCAGTACGAGAGAACCTCTGGTAAGAGAACAATGTAGGCCAATAAGGCCTATGCCTAGCTATGTCTGCAATGGTTGTGCACCACCATTTGGTTGAAAGTTTATCCACGATTTATCTGTTGTTCAGATTCACGTGAAAGTTGTGTTCATAGCTCATTATAAAAGTTTAAATGTTATCAGTTGTAGTGTAGGCAGCTATATTTGAATAAGACATGAGATTGTTCTGGATACTGAAATTGTACTTAGGAAATTATTTGGTAGGCTAATGGCCATCTCTAATTAATTAAAATCAGTAGGTTCACTTAAGTGTCATATAATGAACGCCGAGGGATTTAAATTGGGAATTTTAGCGTCTAATCGGCTGCACAGAAAAAAATCTATCGACCACTCATAATTGGAGTCCGCAGAGAAGATAATAGAACAGGTTTCAGTTTCAGATAGCCTAATGGAGCAGGTATGACATACACATATCTACAGCCTACGTGTTCCTGTCAAGAGCAATAATAAAGCAGCCTAGCATTTAGTAGCCTACTACTATAATACAGGAATAAGCGTCTTTTTAAAGCTGCAATCGAGGAGCCATAATCGGACAAACAGGTTTGATTAACGCAATTTTAGAATATTCTTTACTTTACATATTCGAATACAATCAACTACAATATCCCAAACCTACACAGAAACACAAACGCAGCTAAAAAAAACAACACGAAAACCTTACTGGAACATAATATATTATATATATATATATATATATATATATATATATATATATATATATATATATATATATATATATATATAGGATGCAAGGCACAGAACAGCATTTGCATCTTAAAAACTGTGGGAAAAGGTCTATGTTACTATAAAAATGACACGCTGAAAGGATAAGAGGCATGCATTTCGTCGTCTTCGTCACAGACTGTTACTTTCACTTCACTGTCACCTGTCACCTGAGTGTCACTAGTGGTCTCCTAAAATGACCATTGGACGTATTAACAGTGAATTAATTACACTCTTCCACACTAGCCATGAGCGCGAGCATTAGGTTGATCACAACAGCGAACCGGTAGAACTGTGGGCATGATTTCCCAGCACCGCATTGCACTACAAACATGTGCAGCGATTTAAAAAAAAAAAAAAAAAAAAAAAAAAAAAAGACCAACATCTGCTTTCAGGGCGCAATTCCCCACTGGAACCCCGTCCCAATTCACACAGCACTCCACAGAGCGATGCCGAATATAGAAGCAGAAAACCCTGTCACTGAAAGACACGCTCGATCGCACTCACTCACTCACTCACTCGCGCGCGCGCGCACATAGACACACACTCGCGCACACAGCAGGGAGCGCGAGGCGACAGGATGATTCACTTCAAACTCACCAGCACTTCTGGAGTCACTTGAATCCAGCGCTGGACATGACAATTGATCGTTCAGTGCTAGCGAACATTGGCACAAGTTTACAGTGACAGCCAGTCAGACACACACACACAAACTGCTGACTGGAAGAGCGCATTACCTTAGTAGTCCAAGTACCGCCTCGTCCACTCCTCGGAGCTCGATTTCCCCTCCTTAGCAACCAGAAAAGAGCAGGTTCATGATCTAACTGGCTTGAAGAGACTGTGATGATGATGATGATGATGATGATGATGATGATGAAGAGAGAGACTCTAAGGAGCTGTGCAGCTGTGGAAAGCACTGGGTTCCTTCCACTCTGTCCGTGTCTCGCGCGCGCTGGATCCCAGCGTGGGTGGTCGCTGCGTGGAGTGAAGTGCTCAGGTACAGTGGAGGATCCTGGCATGTGTGCAAACTCACTGTGAGAGTGTGTGTGTGTCAGAGGCAAGGAGGGAATGAGGGGAGGGAGGAGAACAGAGGGTGGGGGTTTGGGGGTGGAGTGTCTCCCTGTGTAGTTTCTGGCAAGCAATTCTGAAACATGTATGTTTATTAAGTGAGAGAATGCTTTTTGTAGGCACATCAATTGAGTAATCCCCTCTTGGTTCTGCATTTCTCTCATTAGGACATCTTGCAAAAAATTAAGAGGATTAGGGTTTAAGAATAAATGATAATAAGCTCCAGCAGTTTATCAATTTATTCCTAAACCCTAATCCAGTAAGAAGGAACAGTAGTACAGGGGTCATTTTTGTCTTTATAACATTCCAAGTTGACCATGCAATGTTAGCACTTTTTATGCCGAAAACAAGACCGTTATAATAAAATGGTCCCTTCACACATGAAATGAGCGACAAGAGTTGTTCACTGTGCTCTGGTGCTCACACACACAAACTGTGAACAGCGAGTTTTGCGTTTGTGTTCAAACTCCCCCGTTCTTCAAGAACAACCTCTTTGCAAAGCCTTCAAATAGTGACATTTCACATAAAAGGTGCCACTCATACAGTTTAGTGTCAGATTGAAATGATCAAGGATTTTTTTAAAAAATTTTATAACTAATTTTGAATGGCCAAGATTTACATTTACCTCTACATTTATTCATTTAGCTGACACTTTTATCCAAAGTAACTTACAATTGCTATGTCAGAGGTCGCACGCTTCTGGAGCAACTAGGGGTTAAGTGTCTTGCTCAGGGACACATTGGTGTCTCACAGTGGATTTGAACCCGGGTTTCTCACAACATGGCATGTAAGGCATGTGTCTTATCCACTGCGCCATCACCACCCAGATGTCTTTCAGAGCTTCACAAGAACTGGTTTATTAGTTTATTCTTAATCAGTGAGGGTGGTAAACCTGTGAGTAAAGATATTTCATCAGATGAAAAATGATTGACCACAACTGAGCTGTCTCAAGACGGCTAGTGGGACGCCATCTTAACTCACTTTAAAAAAAAAAAAAAAAAAGGTCTACAAATGCTCTTCGGACCGGGTATAAGTCCTGAAAGTTAGTTTTTTAATTGTACATCAAGCTTTTTAATCTGAAAAGATCAAGTAAAATCTAAATTCTCATGATTTGCTAGATTTAAAAGGAAAGAGCAAGAATAGATCAACACATCTGGATGATACTGGGAGCCTGAACAAGACTATATTTTATGCTTCATTTAGTTCCAGTGGCTCTGAAATGGATTAGACAAACAGAAAATGGGGAGAAATATTAATTAAATGCCATACAAGTATTCATCCACTGCAGATTGTCACACATCTGGACCACAGAGACCTCACAGAGAACACAGTGTGTCTAGTGTTCTTGGGGAAGCCTGCAAGTCCACTCATGTAATCTACAGTTTCATTTGTCTGCTCTTCTATCCATGCACTCGGAACTGCACACATACACATCACACCCAAACCACCCTTCTCTTTTTGCGCCACAGAGACGATACATACCCACAGGGAATCCTGATAGAGCTCTGGGAGTCGGTCTTTACTTTTTTTGTTTATGTTGCCGGTACACATATACTCTCGGTCTCTGAGAAAACTGATATAAAACATCAGAGATGCTGCTGCTCAAGAACATTGCGTTTCCAGTCTGCATAATTCTAGCTAGGGCCATTGTTATCAATGAACACTTGACCAAATAGCAAGTACCGGTACTCTACTTTGCAGAGAACAGCCAGGAAAGGGCTATTTATCAGTGCCAGGAAGTGTCCTTTATCGCACAGTACACTAGCTAGCCCCTTCCAGTGCCCTATACGTGTTAACACAGCTCCGACACTATTTTTGGGGCTCTCTCTCTCTACATTGTTTTAGTCAGATGTATAAAAGTGTCATGGCTGAGTATAACAGCATTTACACACAATACTTTGAGGCTAGAAATATTGGTAGTTTTCAAGTTATGGTACAAGAAACTTACCCCATATACTGCGATTCAAAACGCAGATAATTTGATACAAACATGCATTAGCACATGCTCAAATGCTCTCTCTAAAAAAATCAATACCATCAAAAGCCATTAGGGAGGAGTAATTGCTCATCATGTCTGAATCACAAATGTATTCAGCCAACCACTCACTCAAAGAGGCATGTGTACACACATATACAGTCATAATGGACAAATTGCACAAACCCACTCCAGGCAAAATTCATTATTTAGACTAGTGAGAGATGCAAGAAATGCACAGAGGTGTTTCCCTATCTCCAGTAGCCTAATTGCATTGCACACGCAATCATCTTACTACTGTGAGTTAGCTGCTTTTCCATTTCATGCTGACAAAAATGATCTTTTGTTGAGATACATGGGATGAATATCTGTTGCAAATGCAAGTGTGTTTTCCTTGCACTGAACTAGAGACATTTCCATCTTGAAAGTAATGTTTCAGTGTGCATTATAGGTAAGAGGGGTGTGCAGTGCATTTATGTTTTCTTACCTGCAAGAAAGGGCACATGTTGCATAAATGCCAATTAGCAGGTAGCTAAAAATAGAAGTGTTAAAGTCTGACTGTGACTAAAGTAAACATGACTATAGTAAGGCCGTTCACACCAAGGATGGTAACTGTAAAGGTGTTAAAAATTAGCATCTTGCGTGGACAGGTGTTGAAAATTAGCATGTTTGCTAAAAACCTCAAGCAAAGGCATATGGTTCATTGAATGTAATTGTGATCTCCATGTCAAATAAAAGTGTTATAAAAATGATAATGATATATATTCTAAAAATCACGCACATTATACTGTTGTAATATCATGTTTTTGCATTAACTTCTAAATCTAATGTTTTTATTCCAATTTGTTGTTGAAATATGATAATTTCACAGCAGCTGTGTATTTTTATGACAGATATTTTAAACACAGCCTACGGATTGACAACAGAACCGGAACACAATTCAATGCTTTAATAAAGTCGTAGTTTTTGTTGTTTTTGGACCAAAATTTATTTTTTTCGATGCTTCAAAAAATTAACTAACCCACTGATGTCACATGGACTGCTTTGACGATGTCTTTATTTCCTTTCTGGACAAGGACAGTATACCGTGTACATTTTCAATGGAGGGACAACTCTTGGACTAAATCTAAAATATCTTAAACTGTGTTACGAAGATAAACTGAGGTCTTACGGGCTTGGGACGACATGAGGGTGAGTGATTAATTACATAATTTAAATTTTTGGGTGAACTAACCCTTTAAGTTTAAACTGAAGCACCTATGGCGATGTCACACCACATTAAAGAGCATCAAAAATGTCATCTATTGCTCGAATTTTGTGATAAAATTGTCATGATTTGAAAAATTACACTGTTTCTTATCAAAAGTAAATGTCATTTAATTTTTAAGAAAATTTGCAGGATGAATACGTGAGAGTATCACAATACGTAGCCTACGGGTGTATCACGTTTGAATATCACCCCGAGATAGATAGATGAGATTTTTAAATTATTTTCAATGAGCTTTTTAACAGAGCGAATATGTTTGTCAACACAGCATATCTAAACCGTTTATTTAGGAAACTTGGCATGTTTATAATACAAATAGAAACTAAGCCAAGAATAAAAAAAAACAGGTCAAAATTATTAACCCCCTCCCCTTGTTTGTAGTTCTTAAGTTTCAGACTTGGATGTTCACTTTGCTCATTTGTAGTTCGTCACCAGAAGTCATGCTTTGGGTCGTTATCATCCTGGAAGACAAAACGCCAACCCAAAACTAGAGGTCGACCGATATGTTTTTTGTTTTTTTTTCACGCCGATGCTGATACCGATCTTTTGAAATCTGGGTCGGTCGATGGCCGATTAATGCTGCCGATTTATTTTGGCCGATATTTGCTTGGTTTTTAACCTCTATTTGAAAGATAAAATGTAAAAGAAATGATAATTACTTAACATAGACAAACTTTCTCAACAAAAACATTTTATCCTCTCAAAAAATGTATTTTTGGTTTGTTTTGTTTGTTGACGGACAAAGACAAATGGACATAACCTAATTATCACAAAAAAGGAGAAAAAAAACTTTAAATGATTGAATTTTTGTATATATAAGATTTATTATATTTTATTTAATTTAACTTCTAACAATAACGTACTTCACTAGTAAATTGGTCTGCTGCTCACTTGGCTGGAAAATGACTCTAGCGGCAGCGTGAGTGAAACATGTGTTCCACGACAACACTAGGCTGCCCACAATTCCGCACTGCCTAATAATCGGCTTGATATACTTGGATATTGACCGATGCCGTTTATGTTAAAAAATGCCAAAAATCGGCCGACCGATTAATCGGTCTACCTCTACCCAAAACCAAATTGTTGCCGATTGCCTAAAGGCTGTCTTTCAAAATCTTCTCAGTCTTTCTTTCTCCCTGATGAGAGTCCCAGTTCCAAACGCACTGAAACAACCCCACAGCATTATACCCCACCGCCTTTCACTGCGGGCGCCTCTCCCTTCTTTCTCCAAACATAGGCGACATTCTCTATGGCCAAAGAGCTTTAGTTTAATCTCACTTGACCAAAGGACACGTTTCCAGAATGCATCATTTTTCTCCAGGTTTTTGAAATCTTTTGCTTCCTGCCTTGGCCAGTCTTGTTCTCCACTGTATGGGTCTCTTTAAACTTCTTGATAATCCTTCTTGAATTGAAAACATTTTGATAAATGTGTATCATTCTCTATTGTGAGCGTTAGCTAATTCTTTTTATTAAGTCTAAAATAAATGTATTTTGCCCTGGCCATGATGACATTCATGATGACATAAAATACATATTTTACTAGTTGTTTTGCAAGATACTAATCCTCAGCTTAAAGTGATATCTAAAGGCTAAGATGATTAATTAGGTTAATTAAGCAAATTACTGGATAACAGTGGTTTGTTCTGTAGCCAATCAAACAGATCATTTCTTAAGGGGGCTAATAATATTGACCTTAGCATTTTTTTTATATATATATTAATAATT